ATCACTGCGATTTTTACTCATCCCTTCCATGTGTGTTTTTGTCATCATTTTTCACTTTTTTTGTGTGTGTTTATGGGTATCCCTTAATTTATTGTTGTAATTACACATGATCTTTCTATTTTTGCCTTATACTCTTTGCTCCAGCTTTATAGTTTGTTGAACCACTCCTTTTACTAAGTGATTGTCTTTGTCAATGAGAAATTTTTCTTTCCTTTATTTTCTTAATCATATTTTTGACCTTTTCTTAAATAAGTCCCTTTAACAATTCTTACAATATTGGTTTAGTGATTAACTCCTTACCTTTATCTTGTCTGGGAAACTCTCTCTCCTTCAATTCTAAATGATAGCCTCGCCGGATAGAATAATTTTGGTTGTTGGCCTTTGTTTTTCATAACTTCAAATATTTTGGGCCAATTCCTCCTGGCTTGCAAAGTTTCTGTTGATGGGACCTCCCATATATGTGACTAACTTTTAAAATTCTCTATTTGCCTTTACCTTTTGGCATTTTAATTATAATGTGTCTTGATGTGGGCCTCTTTGGGTTCATCTTGTTTGGGATTCTCTTCACTTCCTGGGTTTGTATGTCTATTTCCTTTCACAGGTTAGGGAAGTTTTCTATCATTTTTTCAAATAGGTTTTCAGTCCCTTGCTCTCTTCTCTTTCTGTTACCACTATAATGTGAATGTTGTTGTACTTGATCTTGTCCCAGATGTCCCTTAAACTATTACCCTTTTTGTGATTCTTCTTTATTTTTTAATTGAATTTATTGGGGGTGACATTGGTTCACAAAACCATGCAGGTTTCAAGTGTACAACTCAATAAAACATCAACTGCGCACTGCATTATGTGCCCACTGCCCCAAGCAAAGCCTCTTTCCACCTACATTCCCCCCACTCTTTGCCCATCTCCACTTACCCCTCACACCCTTTGGTCTGTGTCTGTTATATATACATATATTTTCTTAATCCCTTCACCGTTTTTGATTCAGTCTTCCACCCCCACCCAGACATCTCTCAGTCTGTTTCATGTATCCATGCCTCTGTTTCTATGTTGTTAGTCCATTTGTTTAGTTCATTAGATTCCACATATAGGTGCGATCATATGGTATGTATCTTTCTATGATAGAATTTTTTCTTAATGCTGTTCCAGTGGTGTGTTCTTTGCTACCTTGTATTCCAGATCACTGGTTTCATCCTTTGCTTTATCTAATTTGGTGCTGATCCCCTCTAGCATACTCTTCATTTCAGTTACTGTATTCTTCATTTCTAAATAGTTTTTTTTTATGGTTTCTCTCTTTGTTGAATTTCTCACTAAGTTTTTACATTATTAAAATTATTAAGTTATACATTTTTCCCCTAGTTGATTGAATATTTTTATAACCAGTATTTTTGAACCCAGCATCCAGTAGATTGCTTGTCTCCAATTCATTTAGTTATTTTTTGTGGAGTTTTGTTATATTCTTTCACTTGGGACATATTTATTTGTCTCCTCATTTTGGCTGACTCCCTGTGTTTAGTGTTTTACATATGATGGCTCTAGTTTTGCTTAGTTGTCTTTATCTTCATTAGAAACACTTTCAGTAGATTGTATTATGACAGCTGTCATTTCAGTGAGCATTTTAAAAAACTTATCAAAATTGGGCAGTTTTTGTGTGACCATTTTAATATTATAGGTAGAAGAAGATACGCAACATTTTTAGCATATTATGCCTTATTATTTCAAGAAAGGTAAAAAAGATTCATGCAGTGTACAGAGAAGGTGTTGTGACTGATCGTACATGTCAAAAGTGGTTTGCAAAGTTTCTGGGTACTATTGACATTTTGGCCAAATAATTCTTTGCTCTGGAGCTGCCTTATGCATCGGAAGATGTTTACCAGCACCCCTGGCCTCTCCCTACAAGAGGCCAATAGTGGGAGATAGCTGATACACTCAAAATGTTGAAATGAATAAAGTTATAAAGTTATTGGTGAAAATGAAAAAAGGTGTCTTTTATTTTACAAAAAAAATAACTAAATGGACTGTTTGACCAACCCAGTATTAGGTAGAGCTCTTACATCTCCCAGAATTGACAGAGTGGCCTTATGTAGTTGGTGTTCTGTTGGCCTGGTGGTTCAGTTTCCCTGTTTGCTTGAGTCTGATGCTCCAGGGATGTTCTTCATATGGGTTGTGTGTGCCCTCCTGTTGTAGTTGAGCCTTGATTCCTTTTGGCACATCAGTGGGTGGGATTGTTCTGTGAGGGCTGACCATGAATACAGCATATGAGCTGTTGTACAGAGACTGATCTCACAGAGTAGGAGTTGCTTCAGTGGGGCTTTTGTGCCAAGCTAGCCTGCCCTTAAAGAGTGTCATTTGTGGAGCTTATTGGGTTGTGTTCTGTTTTGGTCTGAGGCTGGTCACTGGGTTTGTTGGTTCTGTAGCCTTTTGGGAGGGACTCTGGGGCAGGCTAAGCATAGCTGTTGCTTGTGCTGCCTAGTGGGAACTACAAAGTGATCTGTGGTTGGCTGCTGCTTTTGATGGGCTTGGAGACACTTGTGAGAGGCTATGCTGTGAACTGAGGCCTGCTGCCACTGTTGCTGGGCTTGGGACCCTTAGCGGGTACCATGATGTGAGCTGAGGCCAGCTGCCAGTTGTGTTGGACTTTTGGCCCCTTACTTGATGCTATGTTCCAAGCCAACACCAGCCTCAGCTTATGCCAGGCTTGGGGCCACCTAATGGAAGCTACAATGCAAGTTGAGACTAGTTTCTGCTTATGCTGGGGTTGGAGCCATTTAAGAAGTGGTACAGGGCTTGCTGAGGCCAGCCACTGCTTGTTTGGGCTTTGTGAGTCTTTGAGAAATTTTAGGAAAGTTTGCAACAAGAGCTGGGTCAGGCCACTTATGTGAAAAAGCCACTTGAAAAGGTTTAGTTGGGCACACAAGTTGGGTGGGGTGGGGTTTCAGGGAATCACTAGGGTGGGGTGAATGTTCTTAGCCAGGTTAATGGAGAGCTCAGATTTGGTGTTCTCCTGCACCAGCTGGCTTCATGGTAGGAGTAACCAGCAAAGAAACGGTGGTGCCTTCACACTTCGATCCCAGAGAGAGCCGTCCTGTCTCTTCCCCTCCACCTCTCACCCTGAAGTTAGGCAATTCAGTTCCTCTTCATAGGTTCCTGGTATATTTTGAGCTGCTTCTCCAGAGCTGGAGCCCAGAGTGTATGAGTTTGTAAGCCAGTGATTCCATGCTCAGTCCTAAAGAGGTACACCTGAGGCTCCTGCAGCTCTATCCCTCACCTCGATGCAACCTCCACTGGTTTTCACAGCCAAATATTATGGGGACTCCTCTCCCTGGCACTGGAGTCCTGGGTTGGGGAACCCAGTATGGGGCTGGGATCCCTCACTCCTCAGGGGAAGACTTGTGAAGCTGAGATATTTCTGCCCTTTTTAATTACCACACTGTGGGTATGGAACCAGTCTGTCCTGTGTCTTTGCCCCTCCTACCAGTCCTGCTATGGCTTCTTCTTTGTATCCTGAGTTATAGGACTTCTGTTTAGCTAGTATTCAGGTGGATCTCAATGATGGTTGTTCTATAACTTAGTCATAATTTTGATTGGTTGTGGGAGGACGCAAGCATAGTGTTTACCTACGCCACCATCGTGACCAGATCTCATATTAGCTACATTAGATCTGGTAATTCATGGGCTCAGTGGAGGCAATGTGGAACTTGGATCTGAACCAAGTATTATGGAGAGGATGAGAGCAGTCCCACAGCAGAAGTTCCTTTTAGACAAACATCCTCTAAATACAGCTGTCCAATCCTTTTCACTCTTCAAACATTTTGAGATTCTTCTCTTCCTGCGAATCTTCCCTGATTATTCGTTAGCAGTCTTTTTTTGTTCCTTTCTTTAACCTTCACTCTATCTAGAAATGCAGTGTTCCTAACTGTGACATAGGCTGTCAGAAGAGCATGAATTCTCAATCAACTACGTGTTTTAAATTCTAACTTTTAACTCCCCAGCCATGTGACTTATGGGCAAGTATCTTAGTCTCTCTGAGCCTTGCTTTGGGAAATCTGTACAATGGAGACAGTCATACCCATTACAAAGGGTTATTGTAAAGATGAAACAAAATTGTGTATGAAAAGCCCTGAGTACAATTGGCTGGCACATAGTATCCCTTAATTTTCAGAACCAGATAGTGGAGTGGGTCAGAGCATGGATTCTGGATGTGGATTTGCATCCATTCTTTTCTACTTCTAGCCTTATGACCTTGGGCAAGTTCCCTAATTTTTCTGTGCCTCTGTTTCTATAAAATGGGCATATTGATGGTACCTACTTTGTTAGGGCTGTCTGAAGATTAAAAGAGTTAACACAGAAAGCATTTAGAATACTACCTATCACATAATAAGCTCCATACAAAAGTCAGCTGCTATTATTCTCTCACCAGCCAATACAATGCCCTATTTCCCCTGGAGCAGTTTATTTGATTTATGGAGGTTAGATGTGTGGGTTATAGGGACACAATGTCAGTCTTCCCAGGGACACCCAGCAGGCCTGGTTGGCCTGGTTGGCCTGGTTGGCAGCTCATTAATGGTGGACTGTGAATCCCCTGTCTCACTGTACCACATGCATCTTCCCAGTCACTCTGTGCTGATTCAGAGAGGGCACCTTCTCCACAGGGGAATGGAACTCTTCTTGGGTTGGGGTAAGTCAGTGGTGGGACAGGACTCCTGGAATTGTTTTCCTGGATCTTCCCATGGCGTGGACCCTTTAAAATCTCTGTGTGTAGCATTGCAGGATGTGATAAGAGTCCTATAAATTTTTCTCTTCTGCACAGTAACTCTCAAGTATCGTAAAGTTGAAATACCAAGCTCTTATTAAAGTGATGGCAGAGATCCACTCTGTTCTCCTTTTGTCTCAAGGAACATCTCACTGGAGACTGGCTTAGGGCTTTGAAGGCCCCTTGGAATACATGCAGGTTGAGTGAATTGATTTATGAGTAAATACTACTTCTGCTTTTTTTTCAGCTGATTATTTACCCTGGAACCAACCAAGACGAGAGCTACTTCGTCCAGAACACAACTACCGGCCAGAATCAACTAGGTTTGATGGTAGAACCACACACCAGGATGATTACTCTGTAAAGGGCCTTGTGAGCACCATGAGCTGTAAGCCTCCAGTCATGCCTAAGGTCTGTAACATCCCCCTGGAAGATCTGACTAACTACAAAATGAACTATGTGGCTCACCCTATGGAGAAGCGCTTTGTGCATGAGGCAGAGAAGTTTAGAGCCTGTGAAATCCCCTTTGAGAGCCTCACCACCCACAAACAGTCCTACCGGGGCCTGATGGGAGAGCCAGCCAAGAGCTTGAAACCTCCAGCCAGGTCCTGCGGGCTAGACACACCTTTTTCTAACGTCACGGAGTTTCAAGATAAGTACCAAGCTTGGCCAACGCCCCAGGTGTTCTCCAAACCTCCTATCCCCTATGTCCCTCCTGAAGAAAAGATGGACCTTCTGACAACAGTGCAATCCCATTACACATACCCTAAGGGTGCTCCAGCTCAGTCCTGCCGACCAGTGCTTTGTGTCAAGAAGGGTGGCCGCTTCGAAAGCTCTACCACCACCAAGGATGATTACAAGCAGTGGGCCAGCATGCGCATGGAGCCAGTCAAGCCCGTCCCCCAGCTGAACCGTCCCTCCGAGCCCTTGGACTGCCTGACCACCACTAGGGTCCACTATATACCCCACCCACCTGTTAATACCAAAAGCTGTAAGCCCCCCTGGTCTGGTCCCCGAGGAAATATCCCTGTAGAGGGCCAGACCACATACACCGTCAGCTTTACTCCCAAGGAAATGGGTAGGTGCCTGGCTTCATACCCTGAGCCCCCTGGCTACATCTTTGAAGAAACAGATGCTTCGGGGCATAGGATATACAGGCCGGTTTCCCAGGCAGGCTCTCGGCGGAATAGTCCTCTTTCTGCTAGTGATTCAGAAAACCCCAACCAGCAGGAGTTGGCAGTGTCAGCCTGATTTAAAAAAAAAAAAATTATTTAGTAATTGCACAATACTTTTAAAAGCAGATGATTGAAAGTTACTCATTAGACAGAAAAGAATTCCCCAAATGGGGAAAAAAATAACTACATCATCATTTCCAGGACACTTAAATAAAATGAGAATCACTTGACTCAAGGAAAATGACATTTAGTCACTGGTTAATTACTCCTTATCCCACCCTCTGCTGTCTTTCCCTCTTGGGTTCCTTACCTTGTGCTCATGGAATCAAAGCTGGTCTCTATGAGATTTTCTCTCAACCAGATGTATGCTATTTATTTAATCATTGTATGAATTCACATTATGATTAACCCTTGCCAAGGATGAAGCACCAAAGAATAAAATTTATTTTGGGGGGAGAGAATGTGCAGGTCTGTGTCTCTTCCCCCACATGCTGTCTATGCAAAGAGCAGTTTGTGCTCCTTGGGACCTTTAGAGAGATTTCAGGTTAAAAGCCCCATTGCGTTCCCGTCCTGCTGGCAGTGCTCTGGGCCCAGTCTGGAGTCTTGTTTCAGGTTCTTTCTCTCCAGGGCTGCTTCACAGGGTGTCTTTCTCCCTCTTCACATTGTGACACACCAGCATTGGTGTTGTCTGATGGTGCACGGGTCTCTCTGATTATAGGAGACAGCAGTCCCCTGGGAGCATGGACCTGCCAGGCCTCTCCCACCCCTACACCAGTGCAGGTTGTGATTCCAGAGGGAAGAAGGGGACAAAGGGACCCTGGCAACCACACATTCAACAGCCAGCCCCTGGGCTGTGAGTTCTAAATGCTCAGAGCCTGGAAAAAATGGCCCCATGCTGGGCTAGTTCCCAGGAAAGGTGGACCTGCTTGTCCTAAAATGGTAACTGTGACCAGGACTGTGACAAAGTTCGAGTTAGTGGTGAGCTAGACCCTGCCCTGGAGAAAGGGTGGGAAGTTTCTCTTTTGGGTGTAAGGATTCACCAACTTTGATTCTAAGGCTGAACAATTTGGGGATTATTTTAAGTTGAAAAGAATTGAGGAAGGACTTTGTTCAAGAAGGCCCATGGCTGGGGTCATGATCTAGGTGAGCCTCTCACAGGTGGATGCAGACTGGCATACCACTTCTTGAGTCCACAGAACTTAAAATATACTCCATATTCTCAGAGAACTTCAGAGCACAGTGGAGGAAAGAGAAAATTTCAGCTCAAGTCCAGACACTTGAGCTTAGGCTCAACGCCTGGTTCATGGGTGAAAAACCTGGATCTCTCATCCAGGGCTCAGGTTTCCCACAACTCTTACCCACTTGACCCAGACTGCTCAGGTCCGTACCCCTTTTAGTCTTACCATGAGGTTAGTTTGCATCCCTGGGTTGGGATTTATATCACTTAATCCTCTTTTTGGTTACTTGGGGTCTGCATAATCACCAAGGCCACAGAGCTTGGAGCACCAAGATCAAGATTGGAACCTATGTCTTTTGATTCAAGATCTAATACTCTTCGCACAACAGCAGGCACCTCTGTCTGCTATGTCTCAAAGGTTATGGCTCCACAAGCCTTATCAAGCCACATCTTCTTTGTCTAAAGTCCTTCCTGGAGTCCATTAAGCTAACAAAGATCACTAAGGAAAGTAGGTTTTATTGTTTCATCATTTTTAACAAATCAAAGAAATACTTGCACTTGAAAAGTGAAGTAGTGCTAAAATGCTCCTATGAAATTCAGCTATCTCTTATGCCCCTGCCCCTTGACCACCCCCATTATCACTTCCCCAGAGAACAATTTTAATTTGATCTTGTTCTGCTGACTTTTGACTCATTGATTTTAGTCATGGTCTATTTTGGCTCTCTGACACTTCCCCTATCCTCTCCCTTTTTTTCCAAAATATGTATATGACAATACTTGTTTTTAAAAATTTTTTTGTTATTGTTGACAATATTTGTTTATATCAAGACTAATAAGCTTTTCTAACATTTCTGATGAGTAGAAAGGGAAGAAGATGAAGAAGGATGGAGAACCTTCCTGATTAAGGAGCACTGAGCCCTCTTGGGGTGAGGAATATCCTTTGAGTCCTTCCTTTGTGACATGTAGGGTCATTTCCATCATGACCCCAGGTTAGGTGAGCTCTCCAGGGCATCCCTGCCCAGCCCACTTCCAGACTTCAGAAGCCAGCTCTCCCCACTACTATCTATCCTTTTTTTGGTCTCAAATTTAAATATCTTTATTATAATAAAAGTGGTTAACATAAGTAAAAAATTAAGAAAATGTGTAGTGAAGGTCAAAGTAGCTATTTTGGGGACTAGTGGAACGCAGTGGCTGAGAGCATACAGTGATACTGCCCAGCAGACCTGGGTTTGTATCTTGGCCCTTGCTGCCCAGTGGATAAGAGACCTAGGTCAAATTCTTTAACATATGGACACTAGCAATACTGGCTGCATGATTTTGTTGTTTGGATCGAATGATACAATATATGTCAGTTATTTACCTCTGGCTTATGGTTTTAATCATGAAATATAGGTGAGGGTGATGGTGACAATGATGATGATTGTGGGGGACTCCATCCCTTGGAGTCCTCTGATTCGCTGTGGATAAAATATTGAGTTGTTCCAGACACCACTTGTCTGTCAAGGAAAGGGGAAGGTGATTCTCTCTAGAGAAGAATGCCCTGAGCTCCTGTGCTCTGTGGCTTTTATTGAGAGGGTTACAGGCAGGGGAGAAGTAGCAGGAGTGTTAATTACACCAGCAGCTTAAGCTTACAGAGAATAGATGTTGTTTAAAGAAGACAATGGCAAGAACACACCGAACTGCTTCAGGTCTGGGTTGAGCAAACATGGCACCAGGTGGGATGTGGGTCAGGGTCCACAAGTTTTGTAAATTTCTTTCCAAGCCTTGAGCTGGTTATCTGGTATTAGGTTAACAGAGCTTGAGGGAGGAACAAAACATGCTTCAAGGGGTGTAATTTACTTCTAGGCCTGATTTCCCCCAGCGGCCCATAGAGTCATTATTGGGTCTTGCCTGCCTCAGGCATTATCGGAATTCTTACCAAGACTTATGGGTCCTTTCCCAGGCCCCAGCTTGTGTGGGGCTACAGTTCCCAATACCACTAAAAGTGGCCCCCTACAGATGATTATAAAGATGGTTGCTAAGTTCTGCCTTGTTGAATCTATGTATGAGATTATTGGTCAGTCTTTAAAAGTATGCAGGGAAGGACAACTGCTCGTGTTTTATATTCTATGTATTTTACAAAGTAACATATTTAGATTTCTAGTCAAGATGAAGGCATAGGTAAATACACTTTGCCTCCTCACACAACCAAAGGAACAACAAATTTAAAAACAAAAAAACAACCAGAACTGCCAGAAAGTCAAACTGTATGGAAGTCCAACAACTAAGGAGTTAAAGAAGAAACATTCATCCATACTGGTAGGAGGCATGGAGATGGGCAGCCAGGCCAGAGAGGATGCCCAAGGCTGTGGCTGGATGACAGGGCAGGCAACATGGTGGCTGGTGGTCCCACATTTGTGTGCAGGTAAACCAGGAGGAACAACAGGGGAGTGAGGCAGACCATGGAACCCAGGGTTCCAGTGCTGGAAAAGAAAACCTCAGAACCTCTGGCTGTAAAAGTCTGTGGGGGTTGCAGCAGTGGGAGAAAGTCCCAGCCTCACAGGAGTGTTTTTTCGAGAGACCCACAGGGTCCTAGAATGTACACAAACCCACCCACCTGGAAATCAGTACCAGAAGGGCCCAGTGTGCTTATGGGTAGTAGGGAAAGTGACTGAAAATGGGGCAAGAGCCAAGCAAGTGTCATTGTTCCTTATCTGACTCCTCCCCCACATACAGCATCGCAACACGGCAATGTGGGTTGCCCCACCCTGGTGAATACTTAAGGCTCTGACCATCACAACATAACAGGTATGCTGAGACAAAGAAACATGGCCTAAATGAAAGAACAGATCAAAACTTCAAAACAAGAACTAAGTGACAAAGAGCCAACCTATCAGATGCAGAGTTCAAAACACTGGTAATCAGGATGCTCACAGAAATGGTTAAGTATGGTCACAAAATAGAGGAAAAAGTGAAGGCTATGAAAAGTGAAATAAATAAAAATATGTAGGACATTATACTTCTGACTTCTGGCCAAGATGGAGGCGTAGGGAGATACACTTTTCCTCCTCGCACAACTAAAAGAAGGACAACAACAAGTTTAAAAATAAAAATAAAATAAAAAACAGAACTGCCAGAAAAATCAAACTGAATGGAAGTCTGACAACCAAGGAATTAAGGAAGAAACACTTACCCAGACTGGTAGGAGGGGCAGAGACAGGCAGCGGGTACAGACTGGACATGCTGCAAGGCAGTGGCTGGAGGACCAGGCAGTCCCACATTTGTGTGCAGATAAACCGTGAGGAACAGTTGAGGAGCAAGACAGACCACACAGCCTAGGGTTCCAGTGTGGGAAAAGAAAGCCTCCAAACCTCTGGAGGTAAAAACCTGTGGGGGTTGTGGCAGCAAGAGAAACTCCCAGCCTCACAGGAAAGTCTGTTGGAGAGACCCACATGATCCTGGAACATACACAAACCTACCCACCCAGGAATCATCACTAGAAGGGTCCAATTTGCTTGTGGGTAGCAGGGGTAGTGACTGAAAACCAAGGAAGTGGCAACATTCCCTCTCGGACCCAACCTACACACACAGCATCAAAATGCAGTGACCTGGGTTGCGCCGCCATGGTGAATACATAAGGCTCTGCCTTTTCCAACGTAACAGGTGTGCGGAGACAAAGAAATATGACACAAATGAAAGAACAGATCAAAGCTCCAAAAATAGAACTAAGCAATGAAGAGATAGCCAACCTATCAGGTGCACAGTTCAAAACACTGGTAATCAGCATGCTCACAGAATTGGTTGAGTATGGTCGCAAAAGGGAGGAAAAAGTGAAGGTTAGGCAAAGTAAAATAAAGAAAAATACACAGGGAACCAACAGTAAAAAGAAGGAAACTGGGACTCGAATCAGTGATTTGGAG